TTAGAACTTGCGAGCTTGCAGGGTTATTTTGTTTCACCTGGATTCTGCTTTCCTCACATAGAAACAAACTTACTTTTAATAGCAGTGTTCATAATTTTAACTGCCTGGGCTCCTTCTCCAATTCTCAAGTGTGAGTTCTGCTTTCCTCACATAGAAACAAACTTACTTTTAATAGCAGTGTTCATAATTTTATCTGCCTGGGCTTCCTTCTCCGATTCTCAAGTGTGAGCTTGGAGACTCCAGATTTTATTTTTAAATAGCTTGCATCACTCGCAGAGAAGTCATTCTCTTTGGCTGCCCTCTCCTTTTTAAGCACACTTCCTTATTTTTATGAAGTTCCTCTTTCTAAACCAAACACAGTTCCTCTCATGCACATTTAATCCAGCTGTGCTCTGGTTGCCATTTCAGATTTTACATGTTGATTTGTGCCCTGTGGGACTCCTTAGGGCAAACTTTTGGGGTTTTTTTTCCCCTTTTGGAGCAAGTTGCAGTACAGAGTGCCTGGGGTGTGTTGTCAGTGCTGTGCCCCAGTGCAGGGGCATTGTGTGCCCACTGGTGACACAGGGCTCCTGTTACTGTTGTATTTCCTGTCTTTGTCACCTCCCCAGCTCCCCTCTGTGTGTTGGGCAGTGCTGCTGTTCTGGACAGGCCAACCCTGCCATTACTTGACCCTTGAGTTTTCAGTCCATGGGCTTTGTATTGTTTATCCATATGGTCAAATGGCTAATTTGATTAGACTTGAAGCTCTCTTTCTTAATGGATCAGCAGTTCCTACTGGCATACTATGTCCTTCCTGACACCAGTGTTTTGCTTTTCAATTTCCCCTCTGAATTTCCAGTACAACTGCATGTGACCTTCCTGCCGTTGGCTGTTCCACTTTCTAGGCTGTTTCCTTCTTACCAGCTGTCAAAGTCTGCGTCCAGTGTTTGGGTTTTGTCCTTTTCTTCAACTCACCAAGCTGTTTGTCTTGTGTGTTCTTTGGTTCCTATGTGTTTGTTGTCCAGCCCTATATCTGTGGTGGCCCTCGGGTGTCTGTGGTGGGTGAGCTCTCCTTGACACATATCCCAGAGTTCCTGTTGCTGGAGAACGTGGTGCATCACTTCAAGCTTCCCTGCGTGCTTGATCTGAAGATGGGGACCAGGCAGCACGGAGATGATGCCTCTGAGGAGAAGGCTGCTCGGCAGATGAAGAAGTGTGAACAGAGCACTTCTGCCACCTTGGGAGTGCGTGTGTGTGGGATGCAGGTAGGGATCCCCCAGGCTGCAGATGCTCTACCTTCCTTTTCACAGCTGCATTAAGCCTCCCAGTTAGTGTTCCTGCTAAGCACTGAATTTGAGCCTCCCACTGCAGGTAGGTACAGCAGCATTTGTGCTATTTTTGTCTTCATTTCTAAGCCTAAAACAAATGAACCTGCCTTCCCTGAGATGGCCTCCTTTGTCCAGAGCTCCTTTATTCAGTTAGGGAATTTTCTAATACAGTTAGTCTTGTGGCTTAGTGTTCAGCCAGAATCACAATGCCTGGAGATGGAAGTGTCTGACATTTCCTTCTATACTGCACTGATTGTTAAGAAGTTGCTCTGCTGTGCCTGGGCCTGTGCACAAGGGTTTGCTGTTGTGCAATAATTGCTTCTTTCCCCACCCACTGAAGGAACCAGATCTTGTAAACCCAAATCTCTGCCCACAGACTCTGAAGCAATGAGGGCTCCTCATTAATCACTTTCCATGTAATGGCAGTAGGTGTCAGCAGCTCCTGCTGCCAGAGAATTGTCTGAGTTGCTGTAAGACTTGGCTTTTTAACTCCTGGGGTCAGTTGTGTCATACCTTTTTGGGGCACTAGGACTTGTGAGCCCCTTTTGGGCATCCTGGAAGAGAACTAGTGCTCAGGCATCCTGAGTATGCCCCTGGGCAGCACCCATGAGCTACTCTGGGATGCAGGGAACGGGCAGAGCTGTGTCCTGCTCCCACTCAGTCATAATGGGGATGAGTTCCCTCTGCCCTGTCAGTGCAGGACAGCTCAGAGCTCTCTGCCTGGCCTTAGCCCGTTGCTCCTACTTGATGTGCATTTCCTTTGGTGTTCCAGGTCTATCAGCTGGACACAGGGCATTACTTATGCAGGAATAAATACTATGGGCGCGGCCTTTCCATCGAAGGCTTCCGCAACGCCCTCTACCAGTACCTCCACAACGGCATCGAGCTGCGCAAGGACCTCTTTGAGCCCGTCCTGGCCAAACTGCGCAGCCTGAAGGCGGTTCTGGAGAGACAGGCCTCCTACCGCTTCTACTCCAGCTCCCTGCTCATCATCTACGACGGCAAGGAGAGCCGCGCGGGGGCCTTGCTGGAGCGCCGGCCCGAGGCGCGCCTCAAGGGCTCTGTGCCCGAGGGCCTCCAGGACGGCGGCGGCTCGGAGCCCGGCTCCTCGGGCCAGCCCAAGGTGGACGTGCGCATGATTGACTTCGCACACAGCACGTTCAAGGGCTTCCGCGACGACCCCACCGTGCACGACGGGCCCGACATGGGCTACGTGTTCGGGCTGGAAAGCCTCATCAACATCATGGAACAGATGCGCGAGGAAAACCAGTAGCTCTGGGCTGTGGCCTCTTATTCTTGTCCTGGTGGCAGGAGCAGACAAGACCACCCACTACCACAGACAAATTTGGTTTTAAACAACTGTATCGCTCTGTTGTTTTTAAATGTACTTGGATAGAAGAGCTGAGGTGAGGCAGGATGGAAGAACTCTCGTGCCGACCGGATGGTTCTGACCGCACTTGCTCTGCCTTCTGCAGGAGGCTCTGTAGATGCCTGCTGGGTGTCAGGTGTCCCGGTTCTTCGCTGATCATATGTGCGTTCTGGAGGGAGGACCTGGACACAGGGAAGAGAAAGCAGGAGAGCCCAGAGCTCTTGACGAGGCTGGAGCTCTGGTATGAGGAGCCTCCTGCCTCAGGAGCTTCCCCTTTGAATTTCTCCTGAGTTGTTTGGAAAGGGCGCTTGCCTGACGGTTGGCAGCATCTGTGAGGCCGCCGGTGAGAAGTCAGGTGCCAGTCCCTGTGTTTGGTGTTGCTGGCTCTGCCCTGGGTGTTGCCAGTGGGGCTTTGCTTTTGATGCTGCCTTTTTCTGCTGTTTGGGCACTGTGAGTAGCTACCCCAAACACGGAAATGAAATGACCAAATGCAATCCCTGGCAGAGCTGTGGCCCAGAGGGAATGCCACACAGGTGGAGCTGTGCTTCAGCCTAGGGTCTGCTCCCTCCCTGATGGCATGGCATGGCATGGGCAGGCACAGGGCTCCGCAGGACCCACTCTGCCCTGGACCACTGACTTGAAAGTGCTCAGCTCGTGGGCTAGCAATAGTATCTGTAGCAGTTAACATGACCCCAGCTGTGCAGTGGGGCATTTCGGACCATTTCAACCCTTCCCCTCCTGTAAAGTACAGAGTATGTCCCTCCAGCACAAAGTTGCCCTCTTCCCCCGGGGACCCTCTGCCCCCAGGCCCTGCTATTCCAACAGGTCTGGAGGTGGTGGAAGGGGAGGCTGAGGCTTAGGGCTGATCCCCATCTCCTCCCTGAGGGTCTCTAGAGGCCAGGTGAGGGGTGACCTAGCTGAGCAGTGAGAGCCACTGTCTTGACTGTTCAGTACCACTGCCTGACTGTTCAGCTTTGCTTCACGCAGTCAGTGTCTCCCAAAATAAATGTTCCCAGCCTCCTTTGATGAGGAATTAATATTTGATACTGTGGCCTGGTGGTACCAGACCGAACCCTGCTCCACCTCAGCTCCTGTTTCTGTGCTGGGGCCCTGGCTGCTCCCTCCTGCTCTCACTGACTTGTTCCATGGCATTACCATTACCCTGTGTACCCACAAGGCCAGGGTTGGGGTTTTTTTAATTACTTCAGGGATGCTTGTTTGGGGAATACTCGCATGTCGCATGTGTGCCGACTCCATGTGCGCAGAGGCCGCTCGGAAAGCATGGCTGCCACATCTCAGGCACAGCTCTGTGGCACTGGTGTGGAAGGGGGCAAGAGAGCTGCCAAATTTCTCTGCCAGTCTCCCAGCTCCTCAAAGCCTGCCCAAGCCATGCTCCCCCTCCGTCCTCCAGAGAAGGACCTTTAGCCGTGGCATGCTGCCCTGCACTAGGTTACTTCATTGCTCCTGCGGGTCCCTACCTTGCCAGGACCTGCAGGATTTTCAGGGAGCAGGTTTGCAGGAGGCAGCGAGGCTGGGTGAGTGCAGGGGTGTAGGTACCCACAACAGCCGCATTATTCCCTGGCCCTGCCCTAGCGTGGCCCATCGCCGCCCACCTCTGCATGTCCTTGTCCCCGCGGGCTGTGCTCGGGTGAGTCAGGCCGCTCCACCGGCAGAGCCCCTTGCTGTCCCCCGCGCTCATTCCTGCCTTTCCCCGCCTCGCTGGGCCACGCTGCCCGTGCTCCCTCCCTTCGGACCACCGCGGTGGGACTCCACAGCTTGTACATAGCCTTGGCCCCGTTTGTTTTTACATGAATAACCACCCTGTTTGTGCTTCACAGAGAACCAAAAACCATTAAAGGATCTGTTTTTGTCCGCGGCGTGCCGTGCCTGCCTCTCCCGCCGTCTGCACCGTGGGGCCGGGATTGGGGGGGTTTGGGTGAACGTCCCGCCCGCTGCGGCCGTGGCCGCTGCTCTCCTCCCAGCGGGCTCTCCCCGCGCTCCTGCGGCCCGAGGGCGCCGCGGGCGGGCTGCGGTGGCTGCAGCAACGACCCGGCCCTACGGCCATGGAACCCGGGCGGGCCTAAAGCCCCGGCTGGGCGGGGGAGTGTGTGGGGCCGGCGGTGTGTGGGGGCGGACGGTAGGACCCGGGCGGGGAGGCGGCGTTACGGGGGCGGGCCGTAGGACCCAGGCGGCCAGCGTTACGGGGGCGGGCGGTAAGACCCGGGTGGGCGGAGGCAGGGCCCAGCGGAGGGCGGGCGGTGCCGCGCGGCGCTGACGCGCCCGGCGCGCCCGGCGCTGACGTGTCGGTGCGGGCGCTGGCGTGAGACGCGGGATGCGGGCGCTGATCCTGGTCGGCGGCTTCGGGACGCGGCTGCGGCCGCTGACCCTGAGCCGGCCGAAGCCGCTGGTGGAGTTCTGCAACAAGGCGGTGCTGCTCCACCAGCTTGAAGCTCTCCGGCAGGTGGGGGCGCGGGGCGCGGGGGGCGCGGGGAGCGCCGCGCCGCCGGCTGACCCGCGCTCCCGCAGGCGGGCGTCAGCCATGTGGTGCTGGCCGTGAGCTACATGTCGGAAGCGCTGGAGGCCGCTATGCGGGAGCAGGAACAACGGGTAAGGGCCCTTCCGTCTCCTCCTGCCTCCCCCCGTTACCCGGCCTGTCCCGCCGCTCACCCTGTGCCCGCAGCTCGGCATCCGCATCTCCATGTCCCACGAGAAGGAGCCGCTGGGCACAGGTAGGACTCGGGCAGGAGCTTGGGGCTGGAGGGCGGGCGCAGGCGGGATGGAAGTCCAGGGACAGCAGGGTGGGTGCTAGGGGGGGACACCGGCATGGATACGGCTAGAGACGCTGGGAGAGGGCACCGTGGGCATTAGGGTGGGTATGGATGGGTAGGGCGGGGGGACACCGGGAGTGGGACACCGTGACTGTGGGTGGGTAGGGCCGACAGGAGCAGGGCAATCAGGAGGGGTATGCCAGGATGGACATGGCAGGACCAGGGACAGCGGGCCGGGAGAGGATCCAGAGGGACTGGGGACTTGGCCGGGATGCTGGGATGGACAGAGCCCAGCAGGACCGGGGCTCACCACGTCCCTGCGGCGTCACTCACGGCCGCGCAGCGGGGCCGCTGGCGCTGGCGCGGGACCTGCTGGCCGAGGACGGGGAGCCCTTCTTTGTCCTCAACAGCGACGTGATCTGCGAGTTCCCCTTCGCGGCGCTGGCCCGCTTCCACCGGCAGCACGGCGGCGAGGGCTCCCTGGTGGTGACCCGCGTGGAGGAGCCGGCCAAGTACGGTGTGGTGGTGTGCGACGCCGACACCGGCCGCATCTGCCGCTTCGTGGAGAAGCCGCGCGTCTTTGTGTCCAACAAGATCAACGCTGGGCTCTACATATTTAACCCTGGCATCTTGCAACGCATCCAGGTATGAGGCGGGGTGCCAGGCTGGGCCAGGCTGAGGGGCTGTGCCCCCTGCTGAGCCCTGTGCCCCGTCCTCACAGCTGCGTCCCACCTCCATCGAGAAGGAGATCTTCCCAGCCATGGCACAGGATGGGCAGCTCTACGCCATGGAGCTACAGGGTAAGGCCCTGTGCACAGTGCAGGCAGCATCAGGGGTCTTGCCTGCACTGCCACCCTCACGCTGGGGGCTGTCACTGTGGCTTTGTCCCCACAGGCTTCTGGATGGACATTGGGCAGCCAAAGGATTTCCTTACGGGCATGTGCATGTACCTGCAGGCGCTGCGGGCTCAGCACCCCGAGAAGCTGCACTCGGGGCCCGGTGTCGTAGGGAACGTGCTGGTGGTAAGTGCCAGCCCCCAGCACACCAGCCCTGGGCACGTCACGAGCTCTCTGCATTGTCCCACCACTGTCCTCGCTGCCATCCTCCAGCTGTGCTCTCCTCTTCCCTGGCTGGCCAAGTGGCATGGGCTGTGCCAAGAGCTGTTTGCCCTCCCAACCCTGGCATGGGCCCTCTTCCTTCCAGGACCCCAGTGCCAAGATTGGGGCAAACTGTGTCATCGGCCCCAACGTGACGATCGGGGCCGGCGTGGTGGTGGAGGACGGGGTGCGCATCAAACGCTGCACTGTGCTGGAAGGGGCCCGCATCCGCTCCCATTCCTGGCTGGAGTCCTGCATCGTGGGCTGGAGCTGCTCCGTGGGGCAGTGGGTGAGGACACGGGTGTCCCTGCAGGGCATGGGGACTCAGATCTTGCCCTCCCACCTCCTCGGGCTGTGGCTGCAGGGATGTGGTCCCTGCAGGCAGGAGCAGGAGCCCCGAGCCCAGGGATGTGACAGGGCCTCTCTGGGGCAGGTGCGCATGGAGAACGTGACTGTGCTGGGCGAGGATGTCATCGTCAACGACGAGCTCTACCTCAACGGGGCCAATGTGCTGCCACACAAATCCATCGCCGAGTCTGTGCCAGAGCCACGCATCATCATGTAGCAGCCCCCAGCAGGCCCCGCGCTCCCAGCTCTCCTTGGATTAAATATTTATATTTCCATTTACTGTTAAGCATCACCTGAGTGCAGCCCCAACACCGGGGCCTTCCCTTTCCCATCTTTCAGGGCACCACATAAGGAAGAATAATTTAATGCTGCTTTTCATGAGTCAGCCCCCAGCCAGGGGCAAGTTAACAGCCCAAATGCCCAGCTCAGCCCCCCTGCCCTGGCCTCAGGGCTGCCGTGTGTTCCCAGCACTGCAGCAGAGCCGAGGCCTTGGGCTCCCCTCCCTGAGAACGGCCCGTGGGGCAGAGAGGCTGCTGGGCACCTGCCTTCCCCACCCTGCAGCCCTCCCGCCTCACGCTGCTGCCCCGTGCTGGGTCCTGACCCTCTGGCTGAGGGTCCCACAGCCCCGAGCAGGGCAAGTGTTTGGGGACAAGGCAGTGTGAGGCGGGGGGGCTGCCCCGCTCCGCTGGGGGAGCCCGTGCTGTGGGGCTGGGCTCTACGAGCTGGCTGGCTTGGTGAAGTCGTCCACCCCTGTGATGGTGGCCTTACAGAAGAAGCAGTCCTTGTTGTTCATCAGGTGCTGGTTGATGCAGGCTCTGGGACAGAGGAGGAAAGAGCATCAGCCCCCACCCACACAGCACAGGGCAGGGCCAGGGGCTGGCAGTCATCCAGGTGGGGTCAGATATGGGAGCTACTCACTTGCATGACTTGTGGGAGCAGGGCCTGAAGATGGCCGAGATGGGGTGTGCGTAGCAGATGGGGCACAGGTCTTCCTCGCTGGTGGGCTGTGGGGGTTACCAGGAGTTAGCAGTGCCATCCAAAGTCCTGTGTGCCAGGCCTGCTGGCCAGGGCTGGGACAGGGCTGGGGCAGGGGGAGGACTCACCAGTGTGGTTGCAGCTGCCTGCTTAGACTCCTCACTCAGATGGTTCAGCATCTTTTCCACCTTTGCCAGCTCCTCAGTACTGATGTACTCTGTGTCTGGGGAGCAAACAGGGTGTGTGTGGGGTGAATGGGACCCTCAGGCTGTCCTGAGGCTGCTGAGTGATGCACAAGGGCTACAGCTGCCCTTGGGGACCAGCCAGGACAGGGAGCACTGGGCACTGAGAAGGGCAGAACTACTGGCTGGCACTGGATACATCCCCATCCAAAGTGCTGCTCATGGTGTGGTGGAGGAGGACATAGATACCTGTCCCCAGGACTAAAAGGGCTGGGATGTTGCAGGGTTCACAGAGAGCAGCAGCCCCATTCCTCCCCCCGCAGCTGTGGGTGGGCGGTGAGCAGAGCCCAGCTCCCAGTGCAGTGCCAACACTTACAGGTGTGCAGGGAGAAGTGGCGCTTGTCCGAGGCCGGGGCGGCTGCTGCCAGGGCCGAGGGCTCGGCGTGGCCCAGCAGGTACTGGATGGAGCGCAGCTGGAAGCAGGGATCTGCCAGCAGCACCGCGGTCGCGCGCTCCGTCCTGCCGAGGAACACAGGCCTCAGACAACCCACCCTGAGCCCCCACACCACATCCCCAGCTGGTGTCCCCCCCGTCCAGGGGAACATGCTCAAATGCAGCCAAAGAACAGCAGCCACCCTCCTCCTCCTCCTCCTCTGCCACCCCGACTCAGAGGCTCCGGGGATCGATGTGCTGCTTCAGCACTTGCTGAGGCTGCAGCCCCTGAGCCTGGGGTTGCTGCAGGGTAACTGAAGCATCCAGGGCTGCTCTTGGTCACAGCACCTCAGGGGAGATGCTCTGCAGAGCCTCACGCCAGGAGCTGCCCTCCTGCACCAACAGGACAGCTCAGGGTGTGCTCAGGGCAAGCGGGTCTTCCCCAAAGGCAGGAGGGAGGAGTCGTGGCCCTCCCCGGCTTCAGTGGGCACAGCCAGGACGGATGAAGGTCGCCTTAATGAGTGCCTCCCTCGGGCACCAGTGCCTGGTAACAGTCTCTGGCAAGGAGCAGAGCTGGCTCCGTGGCCAGCCCAGGGGCAAGCAGAGCTGTCCCAGCGGCAGGAGGGGCAAGGGAGCAGCCAGTCAGCACAGGCTGAGCCAGGGCGCAGGGGGTTAACAGCCCCTTGACTCGCAGCAGCCGCAGCCGCCAAATTAGCTTTTTGCTGCCCTAATGGAAAACAATTCCCCAGCTCTCCTCTTCCCACTAAACCGCCTGAGCTCTGGATAATGACATTCCTGCGTGTCCTTCACCCTATGGCCACTCCTTCTCCGTCGCAGCCCGCGGCACCCCCTTTGCCGTGGGGACCCCACCGGGCTCAGCCCCGCTGCTCCCCCCAGGGCCGGGGGTGCTGGGGAGTCCCCAGCTCTTGGGGTGATGAGGACTAGGGCAGCAGGAAGGACCGCGGCTGGGAGAGAAGCAGCACCGGGGGGTGACCGCCATCCCCACTGCCAGCCTGGGTGCAGGATGTGACACGAGGGGCTCCCAGAGGTGGCGGGTTTATTCCAGCATTCCGCCAGAGGCTGGGCAGCGGCGGAGCAGCCGCGCTATGGATTACAGCCGGTCGCGGCTCCCCGGCGGCTGCACACCGGCACGGCCGGGGTGATCCTCAGCTCCCCTGGGGACGAGCGACCACCACGCAGGGTCGGTGCTGGCTGCGCATCGCTCTGCCCGCCCGCAGGGAGGGCCACGGCCAGGGACGGGGACAGCGACCGGGCCAGGGCCACCACTCCCCGCGCCGGGGCCAATGGGATCCCGCCCGGCCCCCCGGCCGCGCACCGCCCGCCCGTAAATAGGGGCAGAGCGGGACCGCGCTCCCGGAGCGCGCCCGGCTCCCGGAGATGCCGCCCGGCAAGGAGCCGGACGAGGCTCCGCGGAGCTCGCAGCGTGCGGATGTGCCCCGGCGGCGCTGAGCCCGGAGAAACTTCGCGCTCCGGGGATGAGCAGCTCCAGGAGGCAGCGAGGCGCCAGCCCAGCCCGACACACAGCCCCGCAGCGCCCCAGCGCCCCAGCCCGCTGATGCCGATCGCCGGCGCCCACCCGGCCCCCGGCAGCCCCCGGCAGCGCAGGTACGAGGCAGCCTCGGGTGAGCCGCGGCAGAGCCGGGCACGGCGATGCCGCCCTTGAGGTCTTCTCAAGCCCCACGGCTGGAACCGGGATCCTCTTTCGCGGGGTGCAAAGGGGTGCCTGTGGATGCTTGGTAGATCCAAGCCAGCACTGGGGGAGAGACGAGAGACGGCGGCAGATTTTTTCTCGCGTCTCACCGAGCCTGGTTGTACAGAGGCTCCTGCCTGCCACAATGTCCTCGCCGGCGACCGCGGACACGGTCTGGCCGCGGGTGGCAAAGCTGCTCCTGCTGCTGCTCCTGCTGTGCGCCCCCCGAGCCTCCCCGCAGCCCCAGCGCTGCCCCGACGCCTGCATCTGCACCTCCGACCTGCTGAGCTGCAGCCGGCGGATGCTGCAGCGGGTGCCCCGGGCACTGCCGCCCACCACCACCACGCTGGACCTCAGCCACAATGCCCTCGCCCAGCTCCACGACCACTGGCTGGCCGCCCTCCCGCACCTCGAGGCCCTTCACATCAGCCACAACCAGATTCGGGACCTTTCCCCGCGGGCTTTCCACAATGCCTCCTTCCTGCGGCACCTGGACATGTCCTCCAACCACCTGCAAGCTGTGGAGAGGCACTACTTTGAGGCGCTGGTCAGCCTGGAGGAGCTGCTGCTCTACGACAACCACATCAAGCGGGTGGACGAAAACGCCTTTGCCAAGCTGAGTGATCTGCGGAAAGTCTACCTGAGCTGGAATAACCTGACCACCTTCCCCTTCCATGCTGTGCAGGGGCTGGGAATCCACAACCTGCGCACGCTGGACCTCTCCTCCAACAGCCTGAGCAGCATCCCCGTGGAGGTGCTGGCGGCTCTGCCCGAAAACATCGGCAATGGCTTGTACCTGCACAACAACCCCATCAGGTGCAGCTGCCCGCTCTACCTGATGCTTCAGCGCTGGAATCAGCGAGGTTTCAGCTCCGTGAAAGATTTCTTTGAGGAGCACACCTGCAAGGTGTCTGACAACGCGCCCCGGTCCCTGATCAAGTTCCTCAAACACAGAGACATGTTTGAGAACTGCTCGGCGAGCACCGAAGACGCGCACCTCTCGCACTTGGAGGTGGTGGTGGACCAGCCCGTCCTGCTCACCTGCAACACCAGTAACACCAGCCTGCCGCACGCTGCCACCACCTACATGTGGATCACCCCTCACCACGAGCCCATCAAACACCCAGGGAACAGCAACCGCTCCCTGGAGCTCTATCGCAACGGCAGCCTGAGGATCGCCGCAGCCAAGCCCTGGCTCTCGGGGGTCTACGTAGGCTTGGCCATGAACAGCCCCTACAACTACAGCAGGATGTGCGAGTTCAACGTGACCGTCCTCTACCCCAAGGCACCTGGGGAGACCTTCAGCACCGGCCTCACGACCCTGCTGGGCTGCATTGTGAGCCTGGTGCTGGTGATCATCTACTTGTACCTCACGCCGTGCCGCTGCCTGGGCTGCTGCAAGAAGCCGGCCCCGCTGAGCCCCCCGCAGGAGTGCAGCGCCCAGTCCTCCATCCTCAGCACCACTCCCCCTGCCACCGACGGGCCAAACCGCAAGGCCAGCGCCAACAAACACGTCGTCTTCCTCGAGCCCATCAGGGAGACACAGAACGGCAAGATCCGCCTGGCCCTTGGCGAGGACTTCCCCGACCCCAAGCACCCCAAGGTCCTGCAGCTCAAGTCGGACTCGGAGTCCATCAGCTCTGTCTTTTCTGATACCCCCATTGTGTCTTAGTGGGACAAAGCTGGGAGCGGAGCCGAGGCCTCCCGAGAGCTGGTCTCCTCCATCGCTGCTGGATCAGGATTATTGGGCATCCCGATAATGGCTTCACCACGACCCATGGGAATGATTGACATCACCCACAGCTGCTTCAGCCACGGGCTCCTCGTGGGTTTTGGGCCATGGGCACATTGGTGCCCAGCAAGAGCACCTTGCATAATCTGCTGGCAATGGCCTTGTTAGCACACGGGTAACGCTGATGAACCCAGCATGCTGGAGAAACACCCCCTCATTCAGGCACCCACCCTCCCTAATGTG